AGCTGAAGACAAAGTTCATGGCCACCATGGAGCGCAGTTGGTTAGCATTGTTCTGATCCATGTATTGTGCTTGCACTGCGTTGACTAGTAATGACAGCGCAAGGCCAGCAGCAGATATGAGCAAAGGTCTAATACGACCAAACTTATCCAGGAGATAGAGCCCAATAGTACAGTAGACAACTGAAAGCGCTCCGCTGATACCGATGATCATAAGTGAGGTTTGGTTGTCAATGCCTAGAATGTTGTAGATCGTTGGCCCATAGCTAGACCGCTGTCAGTTACTGCATCTTTACTTGTGATAAGAAGTTGCTGAGCGCCTTACTAGTTGATAACGTTTGTGCCAGATAAGGGACCAAAGGCTTGAACACCGCAACCAAGCAGTAGTCGACGACGCCAGGAAGGCTTTGAGATGATAGACTTCCAGGTAACCTCGCCCATCGCGCGGTCAGCCAGGATAACATCACGAATTTCTTGGAATTCCAGCTCAATCAACTCGGGATCTTTCCCTTTTCGGAGACTCATGAGCACCTGTCTCGCCTCCTCTTGGCGATCCTTCTCCATAAGCCATCTAGGAGACTCCTTGAGGAACCAGATGCCCACCACTAGAATTATACCCGGAAGGCATTGGAACGCCAAAGGGAAGCGCCCTAAGAAGTTGTTTGCTTAGTGTCCTCCCGGAGATATAGCAGAATAGTAGAAAAGTTCAAGGACATGGAATCAGCCTTACATGAGAATTCTGTCTTGTCGAAAGAGCAGCCATATCCTAGCCACTGGGCTATGAGATAGCCCCAACTCAACATCCACTGTAGTAATCCGGATAAAGAAGCACGCCATTGAGGCTCAGAGAGCTCCGAGGCATACATGGGGATAGTTGCAGTAAGCATGCCGACAGCTACACCTGCAATGAATCGGCCTATTATCAACATCGACATGGCCACAGAGCCAGCTTGAATGGCACATCCCAGACAGGAAACTATGGCACCGGCCAAGATGGAGTACTTTCGACCAATTCTATCCGCGAAAACCATATTAAACATTGTTCCTGCAATAGCACCACCCTGAAATGAAGAAACCACACCACCGGTTACGGTGCCACTCGGATTGCCGAAGTATTCCTTGAACGTGGCCAAGGATATGGTCGAAGTGATGATACCGCTGTCATAACCGAAGAGGAATCCTGTATTGCGCTGTGATCAGCAACATGACGATAACTAAAGTAAAGACTCAGAAGTACCTCCTACGGCCAGGAAGAGAGCCGAGAATACTGTTTGTGCATGCCCCATGTCTAACACTGTGACCGGTCCACTGTTATGGTATGAAGCGTCTGACAGTCATGCATCTCGGACATCAAGAAGAGGCCAAATGCAAGACTACTTAAACCCACCGTTCACTTGAAGGCAACAAACCCCAGACCGGGGAAGAGCCCACGGGGAAACTACGGACAACATTAAACCGAACGTAGACTGTGGAGAGAGACCGGCCAGGGACTAGAGATGGGCTAGCGGGCCCCGTCGCAACCGTATTTCACTCCCGAAAATGGAGCCCTCCGAGGTCTAGAAGAAAAAGATCACGCCGTCAGGACGCTATCAGAATGCTGTTTCGGTAAGAAAGAGTCCGACGGCATCCCTGCAATTATTAAGAATATTTTAAAGGTCTGCAACCATTCGGCAAGTCCACCGGTGTGACTTGTGCCGAGTAAGACACCAGCAACGGCCGGCACAGTTGGTGTCCACCTTGAATTATTTTACAAGGCGTGGTCTCGCACAAAATTTGAATCTCCTTCTAATTTAAGTCGTTTGTCTAGGTAGTGCTTACTTACCGACGTCATGGAATTCACTCGCTGCGGCATCCATGGCTTCCATGAAGTCATCGGTATAGACACCGATGAGATTAGATTATTCTGGGCTTTGCACGCCGACAACGAGTATGCCAGACAAACTGCCTATCGGGTAGTTGTATCTACCGACCGTGATAACTTAGAAACGAGTGGTGTGTGCTGGGACTCTGGGCGCATTGAGAGTGATGCTCAGAGAAACATCAAATGCACTCCCAACCAGCCTTTCCAGTCGACCACTTTCCATTACTGGAAAGTGACTGTATGGGACGAAAATGGCATCCCCTGTGAAAGCTCTGTGAACGAGTTCTATACTTCATATCCGCGCTCATCGGGGCTGTTACCGCCGTATAGCATGAATCAAACATATGTAAGCATACCTAGTTGTCATTGACTTGACCTGACCTTTTTACTCACTACGACAGATGCCACACACTAGTCTCATATTCCGGACGTGGTTTGAGGATGAGCCCAACCGATGGAAGGCGGTTTGGGTGGGCAATGGCGGAGACAAGCCCATATATTTAAGAAAGTCTATTCAGCTTGCTCGACAGCCCTCTCGAGTCGTTGTATTTGCATCGGGACTGGGGCATTTCAATCTCACTGTCAACGGAAAGGCGGCATCTGATCATGTACTTGATCCTGGCTGGACAAATTACCACCGATCTGTTCAGTATGTTGGTTATGACTTAACTTCTCAATGGCAACAAGGGGAGAACGTCATTGGGGCTCATGTTGGAAACGGTTTCTACGCAGGTGATCAGGGTGACCGTTTTTTCTGGCCCACATATGAGGATAATACTTTCGTTCGATATGGAAACGAACTATGCTTCTTCGCTGAGGTTCACCTGCACTACGCCGATGGTGCCCACGAGACCATAGTGTCAGACCCTACGTGGAAAGTGAGGGAAAGTGCTACCACCCTTGCCAACATTTACGCCTCAGAGAATCACGATCGACGAGTGTACCCCACTGGTTGGGATTCTCCTGGTTTCGATGATGCAGATTGGTCGCCAGCAAAGCCTTTGACTGGTCCGAGAGGCAAGTTGAGCTATCAGAGCCAGCCCCCAGTCATTTTACATAACACTTTTCACCCTATCAAACGTCAAGCCACTCGCCCTGGCGTAATAGTTTATGACTTGGGGCAGAACTCCAGTATCATGGTGCAACTGGAGGTCAGTGGACCATCTGCGTCAGAAGTCATTGTTAGATACTCCGAAACCCTTGGCGATAATGGAGAGGTCTTTATGCCGGATCCCCTGTTTAAAGAATTCGAGCATAACGTATACTCGAAGATCATCCTTACTGGTGAAGGCCGCGAGACTTGGACTCCTGACTTCTGCTTCACGAGTGCTCGATATATCCAAGTGGAGGGGGTCTCCGACTCTGATAGTGATAATCTTCCCTTCATTCATTCTCTAAGTGCTCGGCATGTCTCATCAGCTGCACGGCAGCTTGGGTATCTCAAAACCGATAAAGAAGACGTCAATGCACTTCTCAATGCTTGTTATTGGACCTTCGCCAGTAACATCTTTAGCTACCACACCGATTGCCCACAGATTGAGAAATTCGGATGGCTCGAGGTCACGTCGCTTCTTGCACCTGCCACGCAGTATATCCGTGATATGGAAGCAGTCTACACGAAGATTTTGGACGATATCATCGATGCTCAGGAGCCAAATGGTTTAGTACCTACAATGGCACCGGAGATTCGGTATATGTGTGGTCCTCTCCATGACACTATTACCTGGGGCTGCGCGGTGTGCTTCCTTCCCGAGCTGATAAAGCGCTACTACGGGTCTACCCACGTATACTCTAAGATATATCAGCCTTGTGTACGATATATGGAGTATATGAAAACAAAGGAACGGAAAGGCGGCCTTATTGAGCATGGACTGGGCGACTGGGGCTATGATATAGCCTTTGGCAATCATCAAGCCAACATTGAAACTGCAGTTTACTATCGCTGTCTCTGCAACGTATCGATGATGGCAAAGGAGCTGGGATTTACCGAGGATGCTGCCTTGTATGAGGCCTGGGCTGCACGCATTTACGATGTTTACAATTTCCACCTTCTGGTCTCCGATAAGACTGAATACCCCTATGCCTTCTATACTTCTCTAGATAATCCTGGTGTCCATGACCGCACTATGGTTAACCAGGCACTTGCGCTGCAGTTCGGCCTGGTGCCCGCAGAGTACCGTTCTGATATCATCCAGGCATTTGTTGCTGCCGTAGAGGAGTCGGGTCCGAGGATTCGCGCTGGAGAAATTGGACTGAAGTACGTCTGGAGCACGTTTGCTGAGGCCGAAGTGGATCGTCCCGACCTTGTCCTCGCGATGGCCAGGCAGGAGGAACATCCCAGTTACATGCGATTCATTCGACGCGGTGAGACCACTCTCTCAGAGTTTTGGCAGGACGCTTGCCGGTCCAAGTGTCACGATATGCTTGGGACGATCTATGAATGGTTCTACGCTGCGGTGCTTGGTGTACAACCCGTTGGTGACGCGTACCGCACATGGAAACTGCGGCCGCCATTTCGAAGTGAGTTTGACTTTGTCAAAGGAGAAGTCGACTGCCCGTACGGCTTGATTCGAGTATGCTTTGATCGTACGCAGACTGAGGGCACTCATGCGCAGCTAGAAGTTACGGTCCCAACCAGCACCGTCTGTACGTTACAGCTACCATCCAGTGGCAGCTTGGCACAGGTTCAGAGGAGTGGGGAACAAGAGTCAAAGAAGGCAAACGGACCAGAAGTGACACTGATGCCTGGTGTATATAAGTGTGTGATATGGCCTTGAGTGACGAGCATGTGAATCTAAACCATAGGCATGGTGTAATGGAATGTTTTGGGGGGTTCGCCGATACGGCACTTATGATAGAATATAGCGATGACCAATATAAACCTTACCAGTTTTATCCATACCCCCATTTTTCTGCTTTTTGCTTCGTATTTCCTCTGGGGAGTGGAGAGGGAAAATGGTTCGCAGGTAAATCATTCAGCTGAGTCTAGCCGAGGTCACGAGCGACCCCGGAATCCAACTCATGCTTCCCCATCTTCCCTTCCCTTTCCTTTCCTAGTCCCGTCTATCGATCCTAGAAGCATCTCACAATGTGTATTTAAACACATGTGTTTTAGGCCTTTTTGAAGGACATTTGATGCATTATGGAACCTAGTTCCGCACGCGACCCTGACGGGCACGCTCAGGTCCTCCCCGTTGTTCGCGAAGCTCTCCGCATTTCACTCAGCGCCAAGGAATACAAGATCCTCCATGACCATGCTGTTCGGCGCGCCCCCGTGAAGGTCCAGTCTAAATTGCCCTCTCCATCAAGATATGAAGCGATAGTGCGCTCAAAAAACAAATACAATGAGGCAGCTCTCCGCACCTCTCTTCGAGTATTCCTTGTCTCAGGAGCTTTATTGAAATTCGTTGATTGGGCACTTGCAAGAATCCGAGGTGATCTGTCCAAGTAAGCTCTCAGTCCAATTAAGAATCAAATCAAGCGGACATCAAATGTACCTTAGCTAACACTCGCGTCTCACCTCTGCCTGAAACTACAGGAAGAAAGCACAAACTTCTTTCCTTCGCTCCCCCAACTTCCGCTTGTCGGCATCCCTTTCGCTCGTTCTTCTCTTCCACAGACTTCTGCATCGCTTCTTCGCCCGGCTACGCGCGAACCTCCGCACAGATGAAGCCCAACCCTTTCGGAATCGGAACCCTCGAGTGTCAAAAGCGTTGACATCGCGCTATGCGCCCGCTGTTGGGGCTAGTCTGGCCCTTTTTGGCCTGGGCATATGCCCTCAGAGTCAGCTGCGACTGACAGCCGCAATCTGGATGGCCACTCGGAGCTTGGAGTTTCTTTTCAACGCCATCGATGAGAAAGGATGGCTTGAGAATCGGCCTATGTGGTTTGGAAGCTGGTTGCTGATGCCCTTGTCCTGCGCGCAGCTATTCCATGCGTTCATCTTCGATCGGGAGGCTACACCTAAGGTTTGCTTGGTCCATATATGAAAAAGATCGTTGGATTTGCATACTGATTGAGCACAGTGGCTCGGAAACGTCATCTTCAGGCTCTCTCCAGGTTACATCCTCGATCGCCCTGAAAGTTTGCCTACAGAGTTTGCTTGGCCGGGAAAGGAGGACGTGGTTGACTCGCTCGCAACTGTCGCCAATCTGCGCTGGCCGTATGTCTATACTCGTTATTTACACCTGGTAGATGATCACTTCTTTTCTAATCTTTCAATCAGCGCATTCGTCTCGCCCATACTGCATCCCGGAGACCCTAATACCCTGCCGCCAGCTGTCAAGTCTATTTCACCAATTACTGGACCTGCTCATCCGTCTATTTCAAGCCTGTCTTGCGCATTGCTCCATTCGAGCAGCCCCAGCTGTAGTACGGCATTTTTGCACAATATTCTCCTCTCGGTCCCTCGTCTGGCCCGGTTTGTGACAACCGTTACCTTGGCGCTCTCGGTGCTCAAGTTCAAGAAGCTGATGGCCAATCCCATCACCTCGGTTAATGATCTTTCGAAGAAAATCATCACCCTGACTGCTGTCCTCTCTGCGTCTGTCGGCTCCGCGTGGGGCAGCATTTGTCTCTGGAACTCACTTTTCCCGCGCTCTGTCCTGCCTACCAAACGCTTCTTCCTGAGCGGTGCACTCGCGGGTATGCCATTTGCGTTCCTTGCGAATAGCCGGAGCGTTTTTACGTACTTTTTCCGAGCCGCCGTGGATTCGGCATGGAAGACGGGCGTCAAGCGGGGGCTCTGGAAAGGATGGAAGGGCGGGGACCTGTTCATCCTTGTACTTTCCTGGGCACTGATCAACTCCATCTTGGAGAGCAGACCAAACGCGGTCCAAGGCCGAGGGGTGCGGAAGGCGTTAGCATGGATGAAAGGTGAAGGTTTTGTGGACCCGGTTGAGGTTGCGGCAAAGAGGAAGCTGAAGAAAGCTAAGAAGGCTGAGACTGAGCACTAAGTGGCGATGGACGTGATTTACGTATTCTCTGTTATGTCTTTACTACGGTCCCTGTTACGCACGTTGCTCATGCCTTTTGTCCCTTTTCACAAGGAAAGTACATAGCGATGCACTGACTTCATTTTGTTGATACCACGCCATGTCAAGTACATATTACAATGTATTCGAGAACCGAGTTTGCTAGGAGGGGAATCAAAGCTACTATGCTCACTGCGATACAGTGGACATGGATGGTGAAGAGGGGGGAAACAAAAAAAAAAAAAAGGAATCTTCCGGTGCGGGGAATCGAACCCCGATCTCCTGTGTGAAAGACAGGTATGATAGCCGTTACACTACACCGGATGTAATTATTAATAATTAACATTCTTTAAATTATAAGCAAAATTCATATATATGATGGCAGTAGAAAAAGCCTCAGATATAATGGGGGGATATTTGTGGAGAGCCTTAGTATAGTTTCTTACCCCAACCCCAAGTTCCCCAGTCTTTCAATCCCCACCACCCAAACCACCTGTACAGGAGCAGTGGTCACTGTACTTTTCTTTTTTAGCCCTGATCCATGGCTTCTCTCTTTTCCCACATTCTCCGTCACTAAGGGCAACAAACAATCGGATTTCGTACTGTGGGGTCCTCCTCAAGATGGGGCCCCAGGAACTCCTTTTCCGACCAGTGCTGTAAGTCTGGATTCCGGGGTAGCAGCCATGATGGGTAACTGAATGGGGCAATTGGCTTTCCATGCTCCAGTCTATGACCTGGCTAGCGACAGCTTCTCCTCCTCGCTCATCCTACTGGATGCTCTCCCCTTTCATGTTTGCCAATTAGTCGTCGGCTTCTTCCTTTGTGAATCCCGAGTGCCAGGGAAACAGGTAGACCGACACTGCCTCCAACCCGCCACGATTTCCGACCGGCCGCATAAATTCTCACCGTCTCCTCCGAAAGCTACCTCCCGATAGCTACTCTTTCCATCTTTCCAGCCCTTCCTATACTCTTATCTCCTTCCATTTCTTCTATCACCTTCTCATTTTCACCATGGCTGCTACGAAGCTCAAAATTGGCTGTGCTGGCCTCGGTCGCATGGGCAAGCGCCATGCCCTCAATTTCCTCCAGCGCACTCCCCGTGCCGAGCTGGTCGCCGCCAGCTCCCCTGACGATGCTGAGCTTGAATGGGCTAAGGTCCATCTTGAACCATATGGCGTGAAGTTATACAAGAATTACGATGACATGCTCCGCCACGAAGGTCTGGAAGCCGTGGTCGTTGCGTCGGCCACCGCCGTTCATGCCGAACAGGCCATCAAGGCCATTGATGCTGAAAAGCACGTTCTGTGCGAAAAGCCATTGTCAACCAGTGTCGAGATCGTATGTAACCCCTATTGTCTTTGCTCTTTCGCCCGTCGACCTAGTAGCTAGGGCATTAACAACCCTTTTCCTAGTCCCAATCTGTCCTCGACGCTGCTGCCAAGAAGCCTCATCTCAAGGTGATGTGCGGATTCTCCCGTCGCTTCGATGCCTCATACCGGGATGCATACAACAAGATGAGTGCCGGCTCAATTGGCTCGCCCTCAGTTATGCGTAGTCAGACCTGTGACAAGCTAGATCCCAGTGGGTTCTTTGTCGCCTATGCCCAGTTCTCCGGTGGTATCTTCGTTGACTGCTCAATCCACGATATCGACCTTGCCCTCTGGTTCTTCGGTCAAGACAGCAAAGTCAAGTCTGTATCCGCCGTCGGCATCACGGCCGTTGAGCCGGACCTGCGCAAGCACAACGACCGCGACAATGCCGTCGGCTTGGTCGAGTTCCACAATGGCAAAATCGCCTACTTCTACGCTTCTCGCATGATGGCCGCCGGCCAAGAAGATACTACCGAAGTCATCGGCACCCAGGGCAAGCTGGCCGTCAACACACAGCCAGCCCTAAACCTCGTCAACATCTACGATAGTACTGGTATCCGTCGGGAGATCCCTCAGCACTATTACGACCGCTTCGAATATGCCTTCGTGACCGAGGCCAATGAGTTCACCGCTTGCTGCCTCGAGAACACCCCTGTCCCACTCAGACTCGACGGTGCCGTCCAGGCCGTCCGCATTGGAGCTGCGCTCCAGGAGTCGCTTATCACCGGCGAGAAGATCTTCTTCGATGAAGAGGGTAACCGGGTGGACAAGTCTCGGCTATAGATGTATGCTTAACGACTTAATTTAGATTACGTCACTTAATGATTTTCAAATAAAGAGCAATTTTGGAGTATAAAAACGCAAGGATTTGAACTTCATATCTCTAAGGAATCCCAAGTGATGCCTCATTCAACGGTAAATTAAGTAGTAGAAGGTCCTCCATGGTCTCACCTCAGAATATACCCAGAACCCCTCCTTCCCCTCACAGATACCGAAAAATTATATTATAAGAACCAGGGCACGTGTACTACCTACACTAGTTTATGTAATATTTCCCCAAAAAAGCCACGGGCACAGTCCACAGTTTAATTTTTCACAATGTGACCCGTCCCGAGACACCGATTTGTCGAACGAGGGTAGATCGCCGACGTACCCCGGGAACCCGTTTCCGAGGGCAAGGTTTGCCGCCAAGAGTTCGCGCAGCGTTGTTGTATCATAGATAAGCTATTCGTAGGGTGTAGTAGTTAGTGCTTATAGCAAGGGTCTTGGAGAGAAGAAAACTTGTTGTAGATTTAAGTGGAGTTTTTTGGTTTTGAGGTGTATATATTTAAAAGTTTGCATTACGGTGAAAGTAAGCTTATTTTAGATCTTGATCTAGGTTCTTGGGAAATGGGTATTTTTGAATGAACTGGTCCCCGATTAATTTTACAGGGCTGTGTAATTCATTGGTGGTTCGTGAATCATCGCTTTAAAAATGCAAAAACAAAACTGATATATCCAAAACAAAAAAAAGGGGGTGTTCTAATATCGAGACAATCTGAGCGCTAAAGCCACATCTACCACTTGATGACCTTGTTGGGGAAGAACTCGTTGATGAGTTCGAGGTAGTATGGCTGCGATGGGGGTTAGCTGCTATTCATTGGATCGAAGAAGGGTAGTGAGAAAGGACGTACCTTGAGCTCATCGACGGTGGGAACGTCGTCGCTCTTGCTGTACAAGTCGTAGGGGTTGAAGGCCTTGACGGCCTTGAGCATCTCCTTGTCGTGGTCGTTCATCAACTCCTGGTATGCGCCGGCGTTGTGCCAGGGGTAGAAGGAGTGGTAGCGGATGATAGCCAGGGCCTCGTCGGGGAGAGTGGACTGGTCCTTCACGACGTGGTAGAGGTACTCGTCATGACCCCAGGAGAGCATGACCTTGTCCAGGCCACAACCGGGGCTGTAGATACCGTACTTGGTGCCGTAGACCTCGTGGCCATAGTCAGGGTTCTCCTTGAAGGACTCCGTGCCGTAGATGATGCGGTCATCGAAAGCGAGGCCGACGGGGAAGGTGTCGCCGACGACGTCCCACTGGCCTTGGGCGTCGAAGAAGTAGAGTAGCTTGCCCAGGTCATGGATGAGACCTGTGAGCTGCATCCAGCGGGGCTTGCCATCGCGGCGGATGGCCTCAGCGGACTGAAGAAGGTGTTCGATCTGAGAGAGGCTAGTGTCGGGGTCGGACTCGTCAATAAGGGTGTTGAGCTTCTCCATGGCCTCCCAGATGGTCATCTCGGCGCGGGTCTTGGAGTGGAAGGCATGGCGGGCCTTCAGGTTGTAAGCGACAGTCTGCTTGGTGTGCTGCTCCTTGTAGAAGTTCTTGACACGGTCGCAGGCGTCCTCGTACTGACGGAACTTGGTCTTGTCCTTGTTCTTGTCGAATTCAGACTCGGCATAGATGTCCTTGTCTTCTTCCTTGATGTTCTGCTTGAGGACGTTGACGGTGTCGATGGCGTCGGAGGTCTCCTCGAGGGCCTGTCCATCACGCTTGGTGTTGAACACCGGGGTCTCTGGGGCGACAGCAACTGGGGCCATTGTGAATGAAAGAAATGTGTTTGATATTTGCCTGTTTCTCTTGAATATATTGGATCAAGACTGATCTGGGTATCAAAGGATGCTGCTGGAGGGAAGAAAAAAACCCAGGAAGACACAGACGTATATATAAAGGAAAGGGCACTACAGGGAGATCCTCGTGATCTACGAGAAATTCAGTATCCGACTAAAGCCCCAGTCGAATAAGCCCTAACGCGCTACACCCCAGAATCCGACGGTGTGGTGGCGCCATTATGATGTCCTCGTTGTGCGTAGATCGGATTCTGGCTTCCGCACTATGAAGATAGATTCTGGAAATGTTCTCCACAACTGCATGACGCGGGGGGGAAATCTGAGGTACGGATCTGCAGCCAACCAGAGACAAGTTGTTACGCGCGGAGAGTACCCGTCTTGACTGTGGGGATGGTTGAGGCACTCAAGGATTTTGGTTTCCGAAGGCCGAGAACATTGGCCGCCGGGGCAGATTTCTCTTCTGGTACTGTGTATGCCACCTTTACCCTCGATTTGCCCTTTCGGTCGCTCCTGATGTCACAGTATTTCCCCTTGAAGCCATAAATGATGATCAGCGTCATGCGCAATGGCCAGTGCCCGCTGACCCCAACGTTGATCTGCTGGTTCAAACAACCACGTTTCACCAAGAGCCATCGGATTTCTAATCGGGTCGTGTGGACTGGAGCATGTACAGTCCTGCTATCTTCACATACATTTGTTCAGATCGGGTATAGGGTATTGGTCCGCCTGGAAAGAGAAATGGTTTCCGATGGCTGCATATGCACGGTCATCCTGGCTCTGTAAGACGCTTTCCGATCGATTTTAATCTGTTCGATGTAGTGAGTAGATGAGATAGACAATCGAGATAATTCACTGAAGAAAATGAAGACCTTGATGTTTTTAGAATGATAGATCCTTACCAGCATGAAGCGAAGAAGAGTATAGAATTGAACTCTGCTCGCGTCAAGATGACCCGACGGAGCGATGTGATTGATGGAACTTCGGGGACAAATTCCACTGGGCGGGACAATTGACAGCGCGAGCCCCGAGGTATTTGTTGATAATCTCTTGTTGCCCCTCTACCCCTCACCCCTCTTCGCCTTCGTATTTGTTTCGCCGTTCTCCCTCAAGTCAATTCGCATTTTTACTCATTCCTCTGAATTCCCTAGAATCGATAACGAATCTATATCCAATTCCACACATACTACTGCACAATGGCCGTTGCCGACACTCGATTCAAGCTCAACACTGGAGCAGAGATCCCTGCACTGGGTCTCGGTATGTAGAAATTCCAATTCAAAACATTGCAATAATGGTCGTGCTGATTGCACAGGTACCTGGCAATCCGCCCCCGGTGAGGTTGAGAAGGCTGTCAGCCACGCCATCTCGGTGGGATACAGGCACATCGACGGCGCTTTCTGCTACCAGAACGAAAATGAGGTCGGACAGGGAATTAAGGAGGCCCTGGCCTCTGGAAAGGTGAAGCGGGAGGACCTTTTCGTTACCACCAAGCTGTGGTGCACTTATCACAGCCGAGTGCAAGAGGCTCTGGACCAGAGTCTGAAGAACTTGGGCTTGGACTACGTTGATCTGTACTTGATGCACTGGCCATTGGCCATGAACCCCAAGGGTGAGCCCTGTTCCTCTTCCTGTCAATATCTTGCTTCAGGTCTAACAATTTATTAGGAAACCACCCTCTCTTCCCGAAGCATGAAGATGGTTCTCGAGACATCGACCACTCGCACTCTCACGTCCAAACATGGAAGAACATGGAGAAGCTCCTCTCTACAGGAAAGGTCAAGGCCATCGGTGTCTCTAACTACAGCGTGCGTTATCTGGAGCAATTGCTTCCTGAGGCTACCGTGGTCCCTGCAGTCAACCAAATTGAGAACCACCCCTCTCTCCCACAGCAGGAGATTGTCGACTTTTGCAAAAAGAAGGGTATCCATATTACCGCCTACAGCCCTCTGGGAAGCACTGGTAGTCCGCTGTTCACAGCGGAGCCTATTGTTGAGGTCGCAAAGAGGAAGGGAGTTAGCCCCGCCACGGTTCTTCTCAGCTGGCACGGTATGTTACAATCAATCTTTCTCCTTCCCCCTCCCCAGCATTCTCTCCTCTTATGCTCGATAAAAGTTTTCTGACCATGTAATGTAGTTGCCCGTGGATCCTCCGTTCTCGCCAAGTCCGTCACACCTGCTCGTATTGAGGCCAACCGCAACTTGGTTCAGCTCGATGAGAAGGACATGGCCACCATTGCTAAATACACCGATGACCTCGCAGCCAGAAAAGCCTTCCAGCGCTTCGTCTACCCTCCCTTTGGTGTCGACTTCGGATTCCCCGACAAGTCATAAACTGTCACCAACTCTAGTCTCTACCTACCAAGTATCTCCTAGCACATATGACCACCGGATGCGGAAAGCAGGGCTTTCCATTCGCTCTTCCGTGCCTCCCACTATCGTGAATGGACAGGGCGAAATCTCAGTGAACCATTAGGCCCATAACTACCTTGTAAACAGGTGTTGTGCGCCCTTCAGGGTGAATGTAGACGATTTGAGTGAGTCTTGTATAACAGCCTGGGGAGCCTGGATAAATAGTTTTGATTCTTTAGATTTGTTTATAGATAGACGACATATATCCCTCATGAATGATGTTCCAAGAAGCTTCTCTCCCCCTTAAGTCTATTACTTATGTTTGTAATTATTTTCAAGGCAGAAGTTAACTATGGTTGGTTCGGATATTTCCCAGTACTAGACCCATTGATAACTGTAGTATATTCTGGTTTTTACTATACCCTTTCTGAACGGTGAAAAGCACCAATTTTATGTCTTTAGCATTTCTTTCCTTCTGAGTTAGTTATGTAGAGAAGAATTTAACTTTGTATTTATCCCTTTTTCCTGTTCTATACTCGGAATTCATGAGAGTTTCAATGTTAGTCTTACGTAACTTACTAGCCATAAGTATTTTAACCCAATACTTCTATTTAATGGTATTTCTGTATAGTATATACAGTATAAAATTTTGGCAATTGTTATATTACACTGCATTACTTTCAGCTTACCTGTTGTGAGAAATAACAGCTCTGATACTAACTACACATTGGCCGACTATGGCTGGTAACAATGTCCAACATCAATATCACGTTGCTAGTTAAATAATATGTAAAGACATCAATAATAAATACAATGGAATTTCAAGGCAACTCTCAGTCACTCAGTCTTTTTTGTGTATTTTTAGAAGTAACAGAGAGTCGGTGTCTCTACTGCTATTGTTGGTACATAAGACAAAGGAAGCTTTCAGGTGACAGAAGCACAGATCTAAAAACTTCAATATTTATGTAAAAACAGATTAAGTTACCGCCTCTAGAACCACGTGAGTATTCTGCCCATATTCTCTTTCAAATTGTGTTTCTCTTTCTTTCATGACTGTCATCCTGTCCACTACCCGACCGCCACCTTGATCATCATCCTGTGCATCAAAGTGCACACGTCTCTTGACCGAGTTCATCTAAACACAGTTAGCTTGGGTGGGTGGGAGGGTCTCATGTGGGAGAATGTATTATTCTCTTACCTCTTGCGCTTGTGCTTCCTATGCTTCTTGACCACGCGTTTGACTCTGGGTGTCACGACTGTCTCTTCCACAACAGCCAGACCAATCCACTCTCTGTTGAGAGTAATAGCTAGGTCCTGAATTTCCCTAACAGTGACTGTCTCTTTATATCCCAGCTCTCGAATCTCACCGGCAGTACTTAGCTCGTCTTTGACACCCTGTTTCGCAAGGGCTCGAAGAGCTTGCAGGCGCCGTGTCTCGCGCTCTGCTACCACCGCCTGGGCGAGGTCACTCGATAAGATATTCTGCGCGTCCATAACCCCGAACGCCTCTTCTAGTTGCTTGTACGGAAGGTAGATCAACATCGCAGAGGGTACCTCAATCTCTCGGTTCGGGTTTTCTCCCCAGCGAGACGCAAAAGATCGAGGACTAGCGATCACTGGACCTTGAACACCCTGCAAGCTTTCTGGGATTCGATTTGGCAGAGTCTTACTCTGCGCTTTGGTGTACAGGGTGAAGTCCTTGCCCATGTGCCTGGTGACAAACTGCAGAGCCGAACCAACTAGTCGTGGGGCCCATCTTTGCAGCTCTTCTGCTGCATCATAATCTCCCGTCTTGTTGACAGGAGCAGTCTGGTCGAGGGTCACGGCCGGTCTCGTCGTGCAAACACCGAAATAGAGAATGCATTCGACTGTTTCCCAGTCGATTAGCTCAATGGCTAGTCTGATACCCGTCTCAATGACTGCCTCTTGTTGAAAGAAGGCCCCCGATGCGGCATAGCACAGGGCTAAGTCTGCCATGGCCGCCGTGAGTGAGAATTGTATTTTTCCCACATTGTTCTCCGAGTATCCATAGGTGGACAGAGTCGCCAATCTGAGATGTCCTGCTGTTAGGAGTGGACTCCCATACAAGTGTTGCAGCGCATATTCAAAGCCTTTGATCATACAGAAGTTCTCATTTCCAACGGCGACAATCTCGTTGGTTCGCTCTTCCTGAGTCGGCGACCTCAAGACATCAGCCATGAAATTGCTACGGCTGATCACCGCTCCATGTGTTTTGAAGACGATGGGCATGAAGATATCTTTGGAGGATCTCAATATTATCTGAGAGTCGGAAAACTCACCTGCTTCTAGACAGTGAAGCAGGTGCTCAGAGAGTGGATCAATTCTATCGGGAAGTATTTCAGTCGCGATGGTATAGAGTTCGGATGAAGCTATAGGAGACGCATGATTAGTCCTGAAATGATGAGATAATTGAAGTAATGGGTCAATCTCACCTTTACTACTGCCCACACCAACATCAACTACATTCCTTTCCTTAATCTCTTGCTCTGAGGTCTGTCTATACCCATCTTGCGGTGCCTTTGAGGCATATTCGTCGAAATGAGAAGATCCAGAGGGAAAGACACAATTACAGCAATCTCCTGAGTGATGAGCGCAGCAACACGACCACCTGGATGGACAGTTGCAGTCGATAGTGGGCTTATGCACACAACAGCTCGAGTTAAATTGACACGTATTCCGACCGTGTAAGTGACAAACGACAGGTCTGGCTTCATCATAATTCGAACAAGGCCCATTCTGCTCTTCAGATTCTTCCGCCTTCTGGCTTGAGGGACGAACTGTATGACTCGAGGACGTATCTGCATTGGAAGCCTCAAGAGGATCACCGGCAAGGCCGCTATAACTGGGTGGAACTTCATCACCAACAGATTGAGAGCTCATTGTCGCGGTGTTAGAGGACGATTGTTGCGTGTTGTCGATATTGGCCTCACCATTATTCATAAGTAGAGGCAGATAAATATTCTCACCCTGTTTTGCTTCCTCTTTCTTCCTTTTCTTCTCTTCTTTCAATAGCTTCTTCTTCAATCTTCTCTTCTCCTTTCGAGCTTGTTGGGCTTTCTCTTGTTCAGAAGAACCATCCACTTGTGTCTCTACCGTCTTGAACGCAGGCCCCGATGAGCTAGCTCTACAAATAGAGCGCAAATCCTCCGAGCTAAGACCTACACGCATGATTTCAAAGACGGAATCAAAAGACATGACAGCAGACGGCAACTCGGAGGTGCAAAAGGAGCTTCTTCTCTCCGGGTGCGTCATATTCTTCTTCAACTTCAATATCAAATCACAATACCAAAAAAGGCAAAAGAAAGAGTCTTGATATCTGCTCGATAAATTCTGGTGAGATTGTGAAGGAAGTTCAGAGATGAGATGGTGTGAATATGGATGGATCAACGTGTGGAGGGACGATATAAAGGGGGGCGACTTGTGTTATTTGTACACTGCAGTTTTCCTTTCCATGCATTTCCTTGACGATTATGTTGTTTTTCTTTCAGAGTGTACAATTGTTGGAGAATTTTCTGAACAGCTCTTGTTAATTACAGTTTACTGGCTACATCTGAGATGAGCTTAGGAGTGGGCTCTAAATTATTTACACACTAGTGATTTCCTCTATAAACTGTAATATATATTTTCATGGTGAAACCAGAGCTCAGAGATCTGTAGTATATGTATACAGCTATATATCCAAACACCAATACCTCTTTAATATCACACAATATCTAAAACAGTATAAGGGCTTCACACTCCACGTGATGGGGTTGACATACACGTGACATGTCTTTAATACTAAAGACATTCAGCAAAAAGTGATATTCAGTGAATGGTAGCAAAGAGTATAATCTTATCCCATATCCGGCCCTTTCTTTGCCCAAATAAGTGAAAGTGCAAACGATCCCCTGTCCCATTAGTAGTAGCATTCAAAACACTCAGAATCACATTCGCCAGCTTGATAAGAAGAAAAGAAAATATCCCTCAGTAATTGAAAGTCTTCAAAGCTGCGCTAGGTATTACAAATCTATTTCACATGAAAAGGGTATAGCCAAACTGGCTAGTCCTCTATTTAGGGAAACAGGGTACTGTACATTTAGATCATTTTTTATTGACCTATCTAGATATTTTGTAATAATGCATAGAAGATAAGGAAATGCTATGGTAGAAAGAAAGAATATGGCTCAGATATCAAAGTCAAATGAAAGACAGGCCTGTCCGCTCAACATAACGCAGTTGGTATATCATCATGAGCAAAAATGGTAATCAAAAGAAGGTATCGAGATTTGACATAAATGAAAAAGGAAAAGGATCGGAAAAATCGAATAATACATGTAACCCGGTGGGAGAGGAAGATATTTTGAGGGAAGTAGGAAAGTAGTAAGACGAAAAGAGAGAAAGAGAGAGAGAGGATTTAGCCGTCATGCGACTATTGTTTAAAACATGCCGCCATCCATGGGGACTTGAGGTGGTGGATAAGCTGGCATAGCTGGTGGCGGACCAGTCATAAGTTGATGTCTCGCTTTGGCATTCAGATCTCCGCCTTCGCTGGAAGTTTTGCGCAGCCTGTTTCGGGTCCTAGGCCGTCTTTCACCCTCGTCGGAAAATGTGCTATATTCTTCCATAACACTATCAGCTGTCGATGGGGTTGTCGAAGGAGCGTACTGAGACGGGGCGTACTGCGACTCGTACTTATCGCCCCTAATCGCACCAAGGATGGTTTGGGTGGTGGTTTGGCGGCGACGGCGTGGGTTCATAGGAGGAACTGGAGGTGTTGACATGCCATTGCTCAAGCTTGCCCCAGGTGGAAGGCCGACAGTTGGAACGTTCGAGGTGGTGGACACGAAAGTGGGCTCGGAAATTTGATGTTTATCGATGGGCCGCTTCTGAAGGCCACCGTTATGCCCAGGAGCCCGCTGAGGGAGGCTGGTTGTCGAAGTAGATGCCGAGCTAGAAGATGGATCAGGGGAGATCTCGTACAACGGCGGGGTAGCATTGGCAGAGTAAGGGGCGATGGGTGAAGGTCGCGGCGGGGCACCAATCATTTGTGGGTTAAGCGCAGGCGGATGAAGTGGTCTTTCAACAAAGCTTGGTGTTCCAGACCGACTACCGCTGCGATACCTTCCAGATGCGGCAGATGAGCACCGGTCGTACATATGTGTATCATTGACATCCACAGATGGGCGGGCGGAAGAAGCCACAGATGTCAGGCCGCGCTGGTCAAAGTCTGGGAACGCGGAGTGTTCATCTGGATCAGACTCCTCTAGAGTTCCGAGATCATCCCTCTCCCGCCGAGTGCGACTCTTAGAGCGACCAGAAGCGTCGGAGGTCGAGCGATCCCGCCTAGACCTAAAACTTGAATGCGGTGATGCTCCACGGCTACGACTCGACTCACGGGATTCTTCTTGACTGCTGCGGCCAAACATGCGAGACCGTATGGAACGCTCTGAAGAGACATGAGGCGAGCTTGAGTTGGAGTGCTTTCCAAAGCTGAACGATGGTCTTTCTTCCTCCTCGCGCCATGAATCATCCATTGCCAATGTTGGAGTAGAAGCGTTACCCAGGCCGAGGATCTTCGGGTTTCTCTGGTCCTGTCTGCCAAACAAATTGTGCTTTCCGGACTTACTCTTCAGCAGGGAAAATGCATTTCCGGGCTTGACTTGGGTATAGTCAGGGGTCTGGCGGCCCGAGACAGGGCTAGCTGATCTACTTTCATTCTCGGCCATGCCCTTCAACTTCTCCTGCACTTTTCTCCGTCTTTCCGCCAGCTCGATCTCGAACTCTTCGCGTTCTCTTTGTGTGTCGGTGCTTGCTTGACGCCTGTGCCTCGCCACCAGCTCGCCTTGCCAGGAGGAGCCGTTGAGAAGCTCCGACGGGTCAATAATTTTTCTGGGTGTTTCATGCTCTTGTGAGATAGAATCATCCGTGTCCGCTTCTTTGTGTCTCTCGTCATCTATCTGCTTTAGTGGAATACCGGGGGAGGGTGGTGGGAAGATGGACGATTTGTCACTGTCGTGCCGCAAGTGGGTACGAACTAAGCCACTCAGGCCCAAGCCAGACGGGCCCAAGGTGGGCGAATCAGGCTTCTCAGGAGCGGCATTCCCGTCATTGGTGGTCTTTTCAGCAATATCGTTTTCGGCTATGGGTTTCAAATCCCCCAGGTCCGAAAACCGCACTTCAGGCAAGGGGCTTTGTTCTTCTTGTGCTCCTTCGCCTGTGGGTGTAAATGGCTTTTGTGGAGTTTCGGACCGAAGCGCAGGATGCACAAAATCATCTGCTATTACCCCATTGGCCAACTCAAGTACAGCCTCAGCCTCTTCATCTTCAGAATCACTGGGGCTCATGTTGGCGAAGAAAGTACCGTTGATGTTTCGGCGAGGGGATTCGTAGACACTCGGGGCAGCGGATCGACTACCTGGGCGTTGGGCTTCACTATAGTGTGAGGTTGTAGAACCAGTTCGTGGCCGGTAGCTTGTGTTTGAGAGACCCCTGGGACGTCCAGTACTTTCCTGGGAAATACTCCGTCCAGGAAGTGAAGGTCGCGATAATGGCGGCGTGCTCCGTCCCTCGTGCATCTGAAGTTGGCGTTGGCTAAACTGGCTTTCATCGTATTGCGTTCTAGGTTTGTTGAACAATCCGAGGGCTGTGGCTTTTCCGTGATCTTCCGGCTGGAGAGCGGCCATCAATGGGGCACCTTCCTCACGTTCACTGGCTGGGGGGCTTAGCGGAGGGGGCCCACCATGGGGAGCTTCATGGGGCCTCTGTTCTTGGGCATTAGTTTTGCCGTGTTGCTGTGTAGGCGATGTGGACGACGGTGCCGGGCTGATAGGGCGGAGTGTGGCAATTGCCGGCTCAGCCAGCGGAAGTCTTTGTATCCTATCGCGCAGGCTAGTGGCGCTTCTGGAATAGCTCCGGTTGAGGCGAGGCATTTCCGGAGTTCCTGCTCGTTGACGCGTAAGACTCTCCAAACGATGTAGTGTAGAGTTTTGCTGGTTTTGAACGGACTGCGCTAGACCCTGGCCGTACAGGCGCCGTGATTTAACAGAGCCTCGCTCAGGAGCCATCGCAGGTACGGATGGTTTAGAGAATGGAGCCAGGCTCTCCTGGGACGGCGACTCTACAAATGACTGCTCGTTGATGGAACTAGCTGCTGTTGATGTACGGCCATTGGCGGTTGGGCCTGAGGCTGTTGAGGAAAACGTAGTTCTCTTAGCGGAAGAAATGCTAGACAGAGCGTCTTCTGACTCCGCGGCAGACGTATATTGGTGGGCTTCCTCGGCTGCAGCACGTTCTTCCTTCTCTTTTAGCCTCAGCCGTTGAAAAGCGGACAAGGACAAATCATGGTCATAGACCGCGCGGCCTCCCATTTGTCCAGCATCCGTGGCGACAGATACATTTGATGATGCCTTGGCGGGAATCTTGTAGACCTTTTGGCGCCCACCAAACAGATTGTTACCTTCCGCCCGGCGAGCTCTACTCATAATGCTTTCTTTCTGTGAGCGGTCGTCGTCGGTACCATAACCATCGCCTGCCGAGGCGAATGAGTCACGGCCGAGGCTGAAAGACGGCCGACTACCATCTGTAGATACCTCATCGATATCTGTGAGCAGGTTTGGATTGTGACCGAAGAGATTCAATCGGGAGGCGCGCTTAGGAAACAAGACACTATCGTCACTTGCCTTGCCGATAATCGAGGCCGGGTCGTCTTGTTCCCTCAACATGCTAAACCGCGCCGATAATTTGGGCATGAGTAAGCTCGTGCGGAAGTCATCGTTAGACGGTAAGGCATTCGATAGGTCGAGTTCGAGCACTTCCTCGGGCTCATCCTTCTTGCTTCGCTTGGACAACTTGGAGGTGAGCAAATTGTGGGTGTTCTCGATAGCTTCCGCATCCTCCTTCGTCTTCTCCTTCTTAGTCTTGCGGAATCGATTCATGGTGGTGTTCGTTAAGAGAACGATGCGAAACTAACGGCAATTCGAGGCGGATGATATAGGCAGTTGCATAGGCGGTCGACCAAATGTAGTATCGATAGTTCTTGGAGGACTGCCACGTAAAGGGGTTACAAATCAGATGGACGCATGTATTCCGGTGATACTAGGTCAATCTTACGAGTCAGAATCATATGTCACTGGCAACTATGGGCCGTCGCCACAAGAGGTCTGCATGAATCGATCAATCAGATTCGGCGACTTACTGATAAAGGCCGAAACAAGAGTGGTCTGAACGTTCACAAACGGCCAGCGACAAACGAGCGGCTTTATTATGTAGATCAATCCGCCAGATAGAACGAGTGGGAGTATCAAAGCGTTTGGGTCATGGACTCATCCCCTAGAGTTGACGGAGCTGCTCCGCAGAGCGCCAAGGAACCGCAGCGTGGTTTGACGACGAAATGTCGATAATAGGCGTGACCTGCAGATTGACAAGGAATCGATCACAAGTGCGAGAAGCTGGCCTTAAGATAGTTGATAATACCGGTCGAGTTGGAGAGACCAACCGTCTGCATGAAATGGTGGAATGTGGCTGCAGTATAGACAAGTGGGCGCGGAATGCCAAAAATGGATCCGAGTTTAAGTCTGGCGGAAGAACGAACGACTCGCCGTTGCTGAGAATGAATGGCTGGGTATTAAGAGAGCGAAACCACCAACTAAGGTGTTGAACAGAATGTTGAACAAACCAGAGGAACCAACTGTAGGAAACGAAGGACGGTGTGGCCTCGAAAAAGAGGAAGTAAAAAGCGACGCGAGAGGAAGAAAAATAAAGCTAATGAATGGATGGAAAGAAGGGATCTGGATTCGATCGTCGGGGGAGTGTCTCTGTTCTTTTTTTTTTTTTCAATTTTCAATTTTTCTTTTCTTTTCTCTTCTCTCTTTTTTTTCTTTTCTTTTTTTTTAATTGGGACAAGGACATGAGCTGTACGGAGGACAGCTGAGTCGGGAATTGGTGCCTTAGACCAGTCCCAGTGGATTGTTACTAACTAGTAACTTACTCCGTACTTACTCAGAGGAACAGTCCAGAGCGGACGAAGTGGTTCGAATTATTGGACCCAATGGAGCCGCCGGGACAGTCTTGAAAGACGATCGACACTTTTAATTCTGATGATATTTAATTAATGTCACTATTAATGGTCGGGAGGATCCTGTCTGGTTTCCAATAACTATTTAGCGAGGAATCCGTACGCCAATGAAGAAAAGAAGAAGGGGAATAATCGAGAACTGACGGCATTCCCAACTTCGATACATCGACAATCAGAGGATGGTGAGGATTTCGCCTTAACCCCTCTCGAGTAAGTCCAAAAATAATAATACTGAGAAATAATAAACTGTCACAGAAACCATGGTTGTCTTTCGGTTACCGTACGGTACCTCGGACCCAGTGCCCCTTGCAGGCCCCACTCGCATGAACCACGAATCGGATACAGCAGTAGGGACCAGGATCATTTCGGGTACCATACTGTACTAATACTACCACTACTACTTAGTAGTACTTAGTAGTCGCTCGGGATGGTTACTGAGGGAGTTCTGGTGACACAACTTGAGCCTAGGACAAGGAAAAGCCCTGGTTTGATATATACTTACTCCTGTGTAGTCACCCGTAGTAGTCTAAACACCTACACTGACTCCTAAGTCGCTCCTTTGTTGTGACCTACCTTCCTAGGTGTTCGACTCGTGCTCAAGTCCAGCGAATTACAATGCTCGTGCCTTCCATCTGGTAGTGTGGATAGTAGTTTGATCTCTCGTATCACGGGATGTGGATCGATCTGGGCTGAGGCCTAAGCCGCAAGATGCCGTTGGCGTTCACAGGACCATGGAATCGGTTTGTATAGGGCACCCCCAAGGCGGAGAGTGGTGAAAGGGGGGTGCTCGCTTACGGTCGATCATATACAACCCCCCCCCCCCCTTCAAGGAGGATGTTAGAGAGTCCTACAAAGAAGAAAGGAGGTGCAACGGATATACTGAGTCGATCAGCTGAGTTCTAGCGAGATAACTCATCAATGGTTTCAATAATTGTGACCTGTCGCCTTGATGATACGCTCCTAGCGCTAGATGGGTTCCGGAAATTTGGACGAGCGGGGGCGATCATCTCATTGCCGTGTCTCATCGTTACTTGATTGATGTTAGGATCGAAGCCTGGCTAATGCATGGGTTCTTTCTTTTCTCCATCGCTCAATCAACCTTGCAAGCGTTGTTGTTGCTTGCAGTCAAGTTTTGTGTGCTTGGGTAATGAAAGACGTCATCTTGACATTTACATTTCCTTTTTGTCTTTTTTTATTCTTATTTTGTACTTCCACGTATGGGGTACATTGGAAGCGGGAACTTAATTGGAGAAGTCAGAGTATATCGGAGCACCTTCTTTGTTTTGATAGCGTGTAAACCCAATACCTACAGAAATACCCGGTGTTAATCTCCGGTTTACGATCCTGGGCGATAGGAGATTATGTGAGCAGTTAAAAGGTAAGGACCGGGAATCTCGGGGCTTGTACGGAGTAAATACTATCCATACGATATAGGATTCGACCAGGTCCGAGATTCGCGACAATGGCTCTTCAAGCTGAAAGATATTGTAGTTTGTTGTGTCAGCTCTTTCTGGCATATTCAAAACAAATATAGGAAGGGTCATTGGTGCATGGGGAAATCAATAATGTCCCAGTTCTACACGCCAAGTCGCCCACAGCCATGGAAGGGTTTTTATCTAAAAGCCCTTGAAGACGGCAAATTTCCAAATCGAGTCGAGAAGTCCACCAGGTTCCACGAAGCCAGCAGGCGTGCCGTGCCATATTACAGCAACAGCCCTAGAGTCATCGACAAGCCACATCGGCAGAAAAGATTGGAAAGTATTAGACAGCCAAGAAAGATTGAGTCAGCAAAAACCAAACGAGAGAGAAAAAAGAAAAGGGAAAAAATGGGGTTTGACCCGTACGTACCTCAGCGGTGGGCCGGGGCAGAGGGACATTAATCGTTGGCAGGGGAAGAGGCTTTCTTCACTAACCAAGCCTTGACTAGCACCACTTTTAGGCACTAGTGACAGGAAACAGTCACAACAGTCACTCAGCTGGAGTCACTGGCAGCCGTTGAGATTACCTAAAGAGAATTAGCCGTGATGAACTCAACCCTCATCATACAAAATATGGAGTCCGCTGGTCCTCCCGGTTCAATGTCGGACAGACACCCATTTCAACTATTGTAGCATCGACCAACAGCCGGGTAACCTCAGCAGGTGTCATTCTGATTTGAGTCGTACTACCTCGATAACATGGCCCCTCCGCTTATCTGAGGGGTGATTTGTGGGCGATGCAATGATGGTTGCAGAACCAACATGCAGCTAAGACGATTAGCTCAACCGCCTACTGCCTGGCATTTGAAATCATGGATACCGTTTCACTCTGTCCACCTAATAATACATATTTTATACAGGCTACTCTCGATTCTAGAGTATTATCATACACCATTGGTCAATGCGTGTCTCACTGCTTCTTTACTTTTTCCTTTTCCCCGGGACCTTTCATCAGCTTTCATGCCGCAGAGCTAATTTATCTGGAAAGTGATATGCCCAGCCGGATAAGCATAATACAGCAGATCTCAGTAGGAGCCTCGCTATTTATATACACGATTAATTTATCTCGTTTTGGGGGCTCTTCTCTAGTCTATAGTCGTGCCTGTGACAAGGCGAAACTTGCCTAGTATGACAAGATGGCCATCCGCTCATACAAACTAGGATCGATCAAACTGTTTAGAGAGATGAAACGCGACACACTTTCTCAATTTTTTGACCTTCAGTCAACCTCAATCCCCCGCCTCTAGGACTCTAATCGAACATATCACCGGTATCTACGTTAGATCCAAGATGGATACTAATTTCAAATGCCTCCACTAAGATACTGAGGAAGATTATGCGAGATTAGGTAACGTCACCCGCCATGGCCGTGCACAAGAGCTCCCAAAGCAACAGCTACTTAGCATGATACCCATCTGACGGGAGGATATGATACGCATGTACGTACCCCTCAAGCCGACCGCATCTAGTTATGTCATGCCATTTCCCGCCCCTTCCCAACAGAACACATGCGCATTCCATTGGAGTGGCACATTCAGATAGGAGAATTCTCGTCCATTCCAACCATTCTTGGCTGAGGCTTGTCACTACCACAGCAGCCACGGGATGCTTTCCGGAATATTTTCGGTGGCTGGATGTAACAGCGGATGCAGCCCATCCCTGTCTGTGTAGCCGGGCGGGCATTGATTCCCGAGCCCTACCAGGATAATAGGCGTGTGGTAGGCGCAATATGAGAGATTCACATGGATCGGATCGCTATCAAAGCAGCATAAACAAACAAACACTTAACATGATCGACTTATTATGGTGCCATTGATGTCTCACGTTCTCGGGATATAGGTATTCGGTTGGGGTTATCGGGTCATGTATTGTTTCATCCTGCTTCACCCGGCACCCATGGAAATGTTTATGCATATCGCACCTCCCCTGTGGCTCGGGACGGACCTGTCAAAGGTCATGGTGGAGCTCGCTGCATGAGTGTCATGTATCCTTGAAAGCCATTGTCTTGAAAAGAGGGGAAGGAAGCAATAGTAAGCAAACATATGTAGGTGACATCCTCGCAAGATTAATCTCTAAGACGCATGCATTGCTGAACCAGTCATGACAGCGATATATTTAGAAAGGTATGTTCCTAATCAAAGTACGAAGACCGACTAAACCTAGTCATGGATAGCCTCGGGCTGTCACGGAGCGCCCAACTGTTCTAGCTCTGTTCTCCTGGCCCTATCCCAAGCTGACCGCCTCCGATTAACCCTTAGATCGTGTATGGACTCTGGAGTATAAACCAAGCCTTACCACCACGGGGCTGTTCTCGAGAACGTGCATCTGAAATAGACGGTGAGGGCCATGAGATCATATACCACAGTGCCTACATATATTTTTAGTGCAATACAGCACAGTCGCGGTGATTTGGCGGGACTGCATCCCCTCGTCCGATGTGCTTAGCACATGCTGCTTAAGAATTTTAGTTTATACATACCGCCTCGATAAAATGCAGTTCTACTGCGCCAGGTGGATATATCCTTGTCTCTTAGTACCGGCAGTTATTATATACCGTACGAATAGTTAAAGGTGTCCGTATCCAGAGTTCTCGAAGTACCTAATGTGCCGATATACGGTACGCCAGTCGATAGCCTCCACCTATTCAATGAACTCGACCAATACAATCCCCCAAAAACACACTAAAACCCCCCATCCCTTTGGCGGACCAAATTTCTGTGGTGGATGCCCCTGACTAGACTCGAAGGGGTCAAGGTAGCCCCGTGCAAACCACTGGATAGCCCTAAAACTGGTGTCCGTATTACCTCACTCAATACTTTACATACAATAATACCAAGTAACTCCTCTCTGGAACAAACCTCAGGTCAGCCACAAACAACCCTGGTCAATAGCACCATATCCTAAGAAGCAGCACCAAGATCGAGACGGGAGCATCGCAGATAGAAATTCAAGATCGGAGGAGGGGGGGGGGGGGGGGAAGAGGATCCATACCATCACCCTTCAAACCTTCCATTCATTAAATTAAAAAAAAAAATAATAATAATAAATACAAGTTGACTATTGCTGACATTCGCTAAGAATCGACAAGTTTCCAGAAATCACAATTTACTCTATTTTTCTCCCCCAAGACTAACGGAGTACTGTAGACTATAAAGTTTAATGAGCAATGCAATGAAAAAAAATAAAATAAAATAAAAAGTCTAGAACTCTTGCCAATTTTCTTTTCCCCCGCTCATAATCAAAATGCGCGATGGACTGACTTATCCCCCACTCAGCAAGAAAATCAGATCAATATTCGACGGTAAGATCAAACTTTGGATGTGCGGTCCTGTTTTCCCCGGTCAATAACCGAAGCTCGGTGTTTCAGATTAGGTGATTGTGGGATACGAGAGATCAATAATTAAACCTGGTTGTAGTTGTTCACTATATTGTTGTATTTTTTGTTTTATTTTATATCATATTTTTATTTTGCCCTTTCTTTGATTGCGTGAGGGCTTTGAGTTGTCTTTTCTTTTTTTTTGGTACTTGCTTTAGGGGCAAGGTTTGAATAACAACAAGGCTTTTGTTTGAATTCGAAAGTTAAACTCGGAGCAAAGGGTGAGGAACTATTGGGAAAATGCCCCGGAGTAGAACTCTGATTCATAAGTAAGAGTGAAGAACGATAGTATCGTCAAGGGATGAGAAGCAATAAGTTTCACCTGAATTGACGCGGGGAGACACAGACAAATGTATGGGGAGCATCAGAAGATCAATTAATATTGACTGACAATCCATTCGAGTTTATCCCTTGGAGGAACTGAGACATTGCGTACTTGATACCTGAGGCATCCATATTAAAATGACGACATCATTATTAATGCATCTACAATAGCTAACCTGAGGCACCACAGAGGTGCTGCCCCTCATCAACATAAACGCCTCGAGACATCACCCTAATAGCTTGAAGATAATATTGTACGAAACGACAGGAATACGAATAAATCTACAATGCAAGTCCTTCTCTTAGGCGGCCACGGCAAAATTGCCCTCCATTTAACCCCACTTCTTCTCAACCGTGGCTGGAATGTCACCAGCGTGATCCGCAATCCAGAGCATGAGAATGAAATTCTCGCGCGCGGCAAAGGCACCAAGGGCAAATTGAACGTCCTCCTGTCTAGTCTGGACGACATCAAGAGTGACGCAGACGCAAAGAAGATCATCGATACTGTGTCTCCGGATTATGTAGTATGGTCAGCCGGTATGTGAAAGCTATTCAACCTACCCCGCTTGGTGTGCTCCAATGCCATCCATAGAATAAGCTGGAATCTATTACCTACAATTTCGAGGCTAATGTACAAATCAAAGGCGCCGGCGGTAAAGGTGGCCCCGAGCGGACGTTTGCCATCGATGAACGCGCCGCCAAACACTTCATCTCGGCGTCGTTTGCTTCCCCCCGTGTGACCAAGTTCCTCCTGGTCTCCTGGCTTGGTAGTCGGCGGGTCCAGCCTAGCTGGATGTCTGATGAGGGCTGGAAGGCTATCCAGAACGTATTCTACAATGTCCTCCCCGCGTATGCAAAGGCTAAGCTGGAGGCGGACGAGTACCTCACTGCGTTTGCGGCTCGGCGTAAGCAGAGCCAGTCCTCGCCCTTCCAGGCCATTTGTCTGCGCCCAGGCACTCTGGTTGATGAGCCGGCCACCGGGAAGGTGCAGTTTGGTAAGACAGAAGGGCGAGGTAATGTGACCAGGGAGGATGTGGCAATTGTGGCGGATCGGTTACTTGCTCGTGCTGATACAAACGGTTGGTATGATTTGATCAATGGTAACGAGCTAATTGATGACGCGGTGGAACGGGTAGTTAGGGAGAAGGTGGATGTCGTTGAAGGGGAGGACGTGGATGCGATGGTGAAGCGGTTTTTCCCGTGAAGTGGCATGTATAATACCACCTAATGGATGACTCTCTCCATCACTGGCATCCAACTGCTACTATCATTGACAATACACACAAGATACCCTACTTTCATCAGGGCTTCAGCTCATATCCAGTTAGCTTAATGATTCCTCGGGCACTAACTATATACTCGACGTGCATGGATTGGTATATACATAATAAGCACTCGTACCATGACTGGATCTATTCTAATTACAGCTTGGCTTTGGGCGCCGCTGCCTCCTCCTTGGCTTGTTTCTTGAGAACCCTCCGCAAAATCTTTCCGCTCACGCTCTTAGGGATTGCGTCCACAAAGCGTACTCCGCCACGTAGTCGCTTGTGGTACGCGACTTTGCCATCCAGCCATTTGATAATATTGGCTGCCTCTTGTTCTGCGCTAGTGCCGGAAGCTTTGCTCTTCGCACTCCGCACAACATAAGCAAGCGGTACCTCAGTGCCGTGAGCCTCACTTTCAATACCGATAACGGCGACATCGTCGATTGCCTCGTGGTCCACAAGGATGCCTTCCAGCTCTGCTGGAGCAACCTGGAAGCCCTTATACTTGATGAGCTCCTTGACACGGTCCGTAATGTAGAAATTTCCGTTCTTATCTTGATAGCCTACGTCTCCGGTGCGGAACCATCCATCGGTAAGACATTCGGCGGTTGCGGCTGGGTTGTTGTGGTACCCTTGGAAGATATTGGGACCCTTCATGTACAGCTCGCCGACCTCGCCTGCTGATACCTCACGCGGCTCCGACCCATCCTCAGGCATGGTCATGTATTTGGCCTCCATGTTCGGCAACATTTTGCCGACCGATCCGATGCTTGTGCGCCATTCCTCCCAGGGCTGGGTGTGAGTAGTAGGGCTAGTCTCGCTGAGGCCGTAGCCTTGCTTGATACCACACTTAATCCGTGCATACACGGCCTCCACAAGCTCGTGCGTGAGCGGGGCGGCACCCGAGTTCATCATGCGGAGAGTGGAGAGGTCATACTTGTCAACTACGGGGTGTTTGCTCAATAACAAAACGACCGGGGGCACGACGTAGCTAAACGTGATGCGGTAGTTCTGAACATGAGCACACCATTTTTCAATATCGAATCTCTCCATCACCACAAGTTTGTAACCTTGGTACAATGTCTGGTGCACAAGACAGGTCAAGCCTAGCAAGTCCGTTAGTATCTTCAAAGAAATATATATCCGATCAGCAGCCGAACCTACCGTAAATATGGAAGAATGGTAGAAACGCTAGTACTCGGTCTCCTTTTCCGTCAGCGCCGCCATTCCAAGTCAGATGACCAGCCTCTCCAGCAGCCAACTGGAGAGAGTTCGCGATAATGTTCCTATGGGAAAGCATGACACCCTTAGGAACACCAGTGGTACCCGAAGAATAAACCAAGAATGACAGGTCCTTATCCGGATTGATCTTGGTTTTGCGGTACCTGGATGCCCCCGAAATGTTTCGGATGGACGTAAAATGTTTGAACCTTGCTTCTGGGTCGCGCTGATCTCCAATGAGGATGATGCGGTCCTCAGGGATGTTGACTTGCTTGGCGGCCTCTCTTACCACCGATAGCTGGGGAACCTGTGTGATTACAGCTTTCGCGCCCGAATTCTTCAGCTGGAAAGCCAGTTCCTCGGTTGTGTAGGCTGGGTTGGCCGGGGATACGACGCCTCCAGCCCAATGAGCTCCCCACATCACCACAGGGGTGTCAATGCTGTTGGGGGTGAACAACGCCAAAACATCCCCTTTACGCCAGTCATAAACGGCCTTCAGTCCTTGACCAAAGGCAAGTGCAGCATCTTTCAGGGTTTTGTAGGTGTAAAATCGTTGTGTATCAGCATCCTGATAAATGACTGGCGAGATACGTTAGCTTCCGAGTTCAGGGTAAATGAGGCGCTGGCCGATGAGGCGGCCAAAAATGACTCCAGAAAGGGCGGACATACTATTGTCATCTGGAAAGGTCCTATCCTTGCGTTCGAATAGAAATGTCCAAAGGTCGACATTGGGGATGTCGACCGGCGGATACTGTGAGGAGACCGGCATGATAACAGTGCGGGGAAATCTGGGGTTGGGCGCCGGGGGTAATGAGGAGAATGACTTTGAAGTTCGTACAAAGCTAGGGACTTGGCAGGAAAGGCGAATCAACTGGGAAGGGGAAGTAAATGGGAAAAGGGAAGTTCACGAAGGGATAGGGAAAGAATAAAGAGGCAAGGAATGACAACAATGGGACCTGTCTCATACTCGGCCCTCGGCTGAGATATTGATAAGGAATTACCGTCCGCATACCTTCGGATGTAGACCCGACTAAACCTTAAGTCCACTTTAGGACAATTGGCTACATCGGGCAAACAAGAACACGATCCGCCTAAAGTACCTCAAGTCCAGCGACCAAATAGGTCTTACTGGCAATGCTTGAGGATTAATCGAGCAATTGAGTCTACTTCGTATTCCTGCATATACGGCTCGCCTGATAGTGCTAAGGCAGCAGAATGAGGCAGTCTATAGAAATGATATCATAGCGGACCGTACGAACCTTGGGACAGATTCAACATGCAAAAGTATAAGAGTCCGAAGTTTTGAGAAGTTTCTCAATAATATTAACATTGAAGTTTAAAAGGATGGACAAAAAAGGAAATGACTTTTAATTATGCCCATAAAGATGGGCAAAAAGTTAATCGTCCCAGGTGAGGATCGAACTCACAACCTCCTGATTAACAGTCAGACGCGCTAACCAATTGCGCCACCGAGACGATGATATATTGAAGCGTCTTATTTAGTTTTGTAAAGCAAGGCTATTATTATACTAGCTTCATCCACCAAACTTAAGCAGTCACGAGCCTAACGAAGCAGTGATATATAACTGCCTTGCTAGGTAGGGTTACTGGGAACTACAATCAATGTGCTGGAATATGATAGGCTCCGTTCGTACACTAATATAGGATTAAAAATAGGGGCCACCACCGCTGAAAGGCGACAATCTGATCTGAACATTGCATAAAGGCATATTTCTGTATCTAGGCACCATGAACGGAAAATGGAAGGCAGATGCTATTACATTGGATGCCTTGCAACTTAAAATTGAATATCTGACCCTAATATTCGTGATCTTGCCTGTTATGAGTTGTTTGTGCAGCGTTGTTATACGTAGCAACAAGGTCGCACACCCTTTGATTGGCCTAGTGAAAGCTTCAAGTGCCAACAAATTGTGGCGGTTCTGTATTGTACGAGGCTCGAATTTTCTTGCAATAATGGTCTTATTCATGACCACCCGTACTTTAGGCGCCCCTGGCTCTTATAGAACGAACTCGATAGGGCTGCACCTTGCAATGACAAGCAACTGAGAAATAGAGGATAGATGACGTTATACTTGACCTAAAGAACGATTGGGACAATGGGAGGGGGAAGCGATTGGGTGAATAAAAGGGGTAGAAGGCAACTACAGAGAGCTCCAAGCCGTGTTAGATCAATGTGCCCGAGATAAAAGGTTGTATAGCCGAGAGTGATGTGAGCAGCCGCGGCTCGCAAGCAGAGGATGGCATTGCTCGACCTCAGTTACCTACCATCATATCAGTGCTTTGATTATGAATGAGAACAAGGCGAACCCAACTTGCTCCACCGATTCACTGTCACATTGGATCTGATTCTCATTTCTTTGCACTAGGGTGACTTGTTCATGTTCCTCTATCTTGTACAATTTCTGCAACGATCATTGCAGTTACCTTCGCAGTATACCACTACTAGTACTAGTACTACTAGTAGTATTACTCTGACCTCCCCTGGCAAGTTGATTGGCGAAAAATCTTACGCTCCATGGCTTTTATCCTTAAAGCATATAATTTTTGACCTATTAAGATCTCGTCTCGGTGGCGCAATTGGTTAGCGCGTCTGACTGTTAATCAGGAGGTTGTGAGTTCGATCCTCACCTGGGACGACCAGATTAGTTTTCCGACTATTCTTTTTTACTTTTTGTTTCAACTTCACCGAAAGGTTTCACTGCTTGAATACACTCGGAAGAGCATTTCTGAGCTGAGCTGAGCTGACTTGCTCCCCTAGAGTCCGTCTACGGACACATTGACTTCTCGTGAGAAATGCCCAAGTTGCCATATATGAATCATGATATTACTCTGCAACTCTTGAGGTTCTCCCTGCCGTTCGTTAATCAAACATTCGATAAATATGTGTTTGTTGGCACAGCGAGATAGGCTGGATATGTTTTGTTTACTTTGGGGGAAATTCCCTCTAATCATATTGAAATACTGAATAGTGTACTGGTGATACTTCCCATGTTTGCGCTATTCGTCATGTGGGTGTGACTGAGCAACGTATAGTAGCCCCAAGAGGACCAAACAACCTGGCGTATGTTTTTTTTTCTTTCCTATAGATTAGATATATTCTAGCACAGGCCTGGAACAGCTGTCGATGTTGTTCAGTTTCAGTGGAGACGCGGCTAACATTTTGTATCTGCCAAATAAGCCTAAATACCCCAGTATATATATGTGTGGGGCCTACTACTCCTTAGCGACATCTTCTATGTATCTAGGACTCTATGCCAACCCTTCGCGTACCTATTACTAGAATAAGATATAGTATAATCCCAATTCTAAATAAGTCTGATATCCAAGAATGAATAAGAAAGGCTAGGGGCTTGACAAATTCCGAAGTGAAACAAATGCAAATCAGTATAGGAGTGTTTCCACTGTATTGACGATCCGCGGAACAACAAACACTAGCGAGCCTTTATATGTCTGAGTTGTCATTTCACTCGAGGGCATAGTGTCTGCAATCTCCTGGGTAATCTGGGCGATACAGGCAAATATCCTCTTTCAGTCCATTCCTGTTCTTTCCGGTATTTTGTCGCTTGAATTGCCCCGAGAGACCTTCGCAAAGATATAATTGGCACTGTCACTGTAGATCCCATACATTGAAACGTGTCTATGTCTTGTCTGCCTGCGCAGTTTCCCTGCCATAAACGAACAGAGCATTGACTAACAATGCTCTTTTTCCACTGTGACTGGGCTTTGATTTCGTTACAGCAATGCACCGCACCAGGTTTACCAGTAGCAGATATGAGACTTTTACCACAAAGTACCAAATCGGTTGATGCGTCCATTAATATCTAGACGAGCGATGTATTTTTCGGAATTCACTATCCAGTCCAGTGCAAGCTTCACCTCAGTATACCACACAGGTGGCGTGTCCAGGATCTCTCATGGCAGCGAAGTAGTGTATGTACGCTCGCTAGATATCTGTCCGGTTGGGGTTTTGATATGGTCCACCGCATGGACTAGTATATGCGGTACTATGTCGCGGCATCGGCTCATTCCGGGGATCGCTGTTACCCTTCACGAGTTGATAAGAATACTCTTCCGTAAAAGAAGAGTATCGGCAATAATTCTGCTAGCAGCTACGCAGAGAAGACACAGGTCTTCTTTTGTAGTATCCTAACACCTTCTGGTATGTTCACTGGCTGTATATGCGCTACAATGCGGAGGGATGTATCAGAAAAGGTGACTAAAAAGATAATATGCGAAAAGGTTGTTGTCAAAAGAACATTCATGGGATAAGTAGCCTTGTGGACTTGCTGAGCTGCCTTCTTGACCACTATGCGCTGGTCCTGGCCGTCTAGGATATTCTGGGATTAGAATCGTAGATGCTGCCGGGGTTGCAGCAGTCTGGCTTTCAATTGGGTCTGAGAAGATAGATGGAGACAAAAAAAATAAAAAGGAAAGAGAAGGAAGGCCGGGCAGGGCGAATAAATAGCCCAAAGAGATCCTACCCTGGAACAGTGAACAAGTATTTTGAGATAAATTCTAAAGTCCAACATAATTCAGTGAGATATAAAAAGCTGATTGACGTAGCTTTTCTCTATATTAGATTGGTGACCTGTATTAAAGACATCATAAAGTAGAGGGGTCAATAAAATTATAGGATAGACAGCGATTAATTAGATACTTGCCCTGCGGATCTATGGCCAGTTTTCTATAAATCAATGTTTTAGTGGTTCGCATGATAAATTCTTTGGTTTCCGGTTTGCGCGCTTTTTGATGATATATCCCAGTAAAAAAAAGAATAGTTCTCTATTCCAGGATATATGCAAGCAGATCTACCTGGGTATGCAACAGTCTGGCGTTATTTCCCTTCTCTTATTGTATGTGGATCCATCGAGATATCGACAAGAGTGTTCATCTTGTACACATTCTTCCATCCATTTGGGCAGATAACTATATATGGATATTCCCGTTACGATTATGGCCACTTACAGACACGGCGGGCCTGTGGTATGTACAGGCGGAGACACTTTTCGGGATGTTCAGTCTCTGCTAAATGAAACTGTACCGTGGCTTTATCGCCTTCTCTTACATAGATCGAGGTCGAGATCACGGGCTGTGAGGAAGTTTTTGAGCTCGTTAAACGTGCCCCCTAGGCTTGCAGTCTACTACTATATATCGAGGCTCGGAGAAAAAGAAGATTTGTCCAAAATATCTTGATTCCCTACAGTTTCAATTTCGATGAAAGACTAGAATACAGGAAGGGCGACCTTAAGGTGATACTAGTCCAAAGCTTGTTCACATAAGCCAATGTTTTAATTGAAGATCTGTTTAATTACCTTGATTCGAGAAACGGTACGCCCTTTTTGAAGGGATAATATTTATAACTAGTCGAGAGGAGGTTTCATCTATGCATTACTCACAGCGAGATCACAACAAACCTTGTGCAGCAAGCGGTTTTGACTAAACATCTAATCTTGGGTGCGCATTCCGTCGTTTGGTTTTCCGTGCCAAACGGCGGCCTCCCCTGATGCGTTGACTTCGAATCTGTGACATTTGATTACCTGATGAAAACGCCCTTCGATGAAAGATGGAAGAAACAACAATAGCTGAGCTACGACGTCAACTTGAGGAAGAGAGGAGAGCTCGAGAAGAAGAGAGGAGAGTATGGGAAGAGGTAGACCGGCATGTGCAGCCCAACACACTATATAGCCTTCTCGATCGCTGCCACAATACCCTGTCTCAAGCGATTAGAGTTGAGACAGATGCGACCCTCACGACTCAGGGCGATGCGACCGACCCAGTCAACCGACTTTACCCCAAGCGCATTATCCTTTAGCTGGAATTCCCGCAACTCCAAGAGAAAATGTGGAAGAAAATCGACCGCGTGGGCACCTTCACTTCACGGCTACTCTTCCCGTGCGATACACAATAGATTATGTCGCCACGAATATACAAAACAGGGCGATATATTCGGAAGCGTCACTGCGGAATTTCGAGCGAGAAACGGTGGATAACTTTGTTGAAAAGGTCATCGAGGCGTTCCGAGACGATGAGACTCTTCGAGATGAGTTTGGCATCCAGGGTCGAGTCGCCTTCTATGACCACGCAGAAACCTTGCTGGAGAACAGCTTCGAGCAGATGAGTCTCTGGAACGCGCGGTCACCTCAATGACTGGCGAATATAAGGCGTGACACAGGCAGAGGAAGAGGGGGAAGAGCTGTGCAGAGCCAGAGAAGACCTGGCACTCTACGAAGGCGCAATCGCCGCGCCGACCAGTTCTGCGTGCATACTGTGGCTGACGAGCGAAAAAAAACCAGTATATGCAGTAGAGTTCAAAGCGCCGCACAAGGTGACAATCCCGGAACTGGTGGCGGGCCTACATGAGATGGACTTGGTCTGCGATGTCATTGATCAGGATTCAGGAAGGTGATACATTCGAGTATTATGTCACCCGCCTCGTCGCCGCTGTGGTCACTCAAATTTTGTCATATATGATCGATACTGGGGTTCAAGACGGCTTCATTTGCACGGGGGAGGCTTTGTTTTTCTCCATATTCCGAGAGATCCCACTGTTATTCAATATTACTTATGTGTCCCAAATCAAGATGTGCAGGTGAACGATGAGTGTCGTCTTCATCGGACCGCCATCGGTCAGGTGCTTGCATTCACTCTTCAAGCACTAGCCGCCGAGCCTCCATCTCAAGAATGGCATGATACAGCCCACGAGCAGCTCACTACCTAGAAAGTTAAATATCTAGATATTCTGCGGGATATCCCCGAAACTATACGCAAAGACCCACCGACCTTTAACTATCGACCGTCGCACTGGAAACGAGAGCCGAAGACACATAACACACGCTCCCGCGCTCGCTGTCAACCAGGTGCATCTCCTCCAGAGCATTCGTCGACTGAAGGCAGCGGCGGTGATGAGGGATCGCACTCACCATCCACCGCAGCAGCGGCGCGTAGCCGATCGAGTCGCACCCGGCGCAACGGACAGCAGTCACCAGGTAGGCGTGACGGATTTAAAGCTGGACGCAACTCTCAAAAAGACAGCCAGACTACACGAGCATACTGCAACATGGCCTACATACGCGGCATACTCAACCGAGATCCTCTAGATAAAGCGTGCCCCAACCTACAAAGTCATCCTGGTGGCCAGAGACATTCGATAGGTCCGGCTGAGTTCACGCGCAGCCTTCACCGTCAACTCGTACGGAATCGAAACGAAGGATTCGAACCACTACATGTGCGCGGCCGAACAGGCTACCTAGTGAAAGCGACGCTTCTGACACATGGATACACTGTGATCATTAAAGCTACCACGGCAGAGAAGCAACATCGTCTCCAAGCGGAGATGGAAAATTATAAGCACCTTAGAAATCTGCAGGGCCAACAGATTCCCGTCTGTCTTGGGGCTTTTAAGCCACGCATTGCATATTGGTACCACGGCGAATTAATGGCGCAGATGATGGTTTTGAGCTGGTCTGGAACGCGACTTCAGCATATCATCAACAATAGTAATTCCAGCTTCTTTGGCCAAGAGCGCAAGAAAGCTCTGGCTGTGCTACGGTCACATGGAATTACCCATGGTGATAGTGAGGGGCGCAATATGCTGTGGGATAAAATGAGTGGGCGTTTGGTTGTTATTGACTTGGAGGATTTGGAATGGGTGAAGCATCCCCGGGCTTTTAAACCAACCTCAGGAAACAGATGGTATGGTTCTCATGTTAGGGCGGGAGGAGCAGACAAACATTCCCATCCGGCTCGACCGCTGCATGCAAGTGATAGCCATCGACCTTTGTCTCACTGTATTAGTTGAAGCAGCTGGTGTCTACGCCGCCAGATCATGGCGGAAAGGAAGTCCTATTATCGAAATGCCATCCTGGTTATTTAGCCATATACCGCGAAGCGTGGGTCTAGACTAATTAGACTGCGTTTTATGGGAAAACCCAGCATCTACGAATGCGTTGCCGTTGCAGGCGAGCCAGCTACTTCAACGAAGTCACCGGCCCGCTCACCAATTCTTTTCGAGCTGGGTCGAGGCCCGGATGGAAGTGGAGAGAGAAAGCTTCAAGATAATTGATTAGCTGCGAACCGTGCAATACGCGAAAAGATACCTGCTTGCCCAAGTCTCGTCCCGTCGTAATCAACGAATCTGCACTTCAGATTGGACCACATCATATCCCCTCTCCTGTCGCTCGTTCAACATGACGCGGCTTTTTCAAGCCAATCATTCGACAATATTGAAATAAAGACTGCTGATTTAAACTGAGACTAAACGGTAGATAGAGGAAAAGGAGAAAAAGATAACAAAAAACATGAAAGACTGTGTACGGCCTTTGCTTTCGAACTATCGAATGCTCGCTATTACCCCAAGGGTGATGAAGACTCGCATATGTCTGGTGCAGGGGATGATCTGCCAGATCAGGTCTAGATTCCCTCGATGTGTCAAACTCTTCCAAGAATTTCTCGTTGGGCATCTGCAGCTATCTGTAGGTACTAGTCATAGTTCATTTGGTGTCCATCGTCGCTGGCCAATGCGTGCGCAATAGATGTGAGGCTTTTGATCTGATAGTGTGAGCTGATGATCTAGCCAATCGTCTAGGATTACTAAAATCGCGTCCATTGAGAGTCATGGATTCCAAGCGTCGGAGTTCAGCGTCTCCAACAAGAGGACCTTGATGAGTGTTTGCTTTTGAGAGGAAAAATTCCCAGATATCATGACGGGCCCTCTTCGTCAAGTCATCATACTTTATTTGAGATAGATTCTACTTAGAACTGCTTCTCCGAATCCAGTCGCCCGGTTCGCAGTCAAAAAAAGAATACCTTCTTTCATAAGAAAAGCGGTTTTACTTCGAATATGCCTACCAACTAGGCTTCGGAATCTGTGGCCGGTTGCAGCCAGTTCTTTACGACTCAACCATGATTCAGGTGGCAGCGAAGAGGGACGGCCCCCAGAGATTCAATCAATGGGCTTGGGCGCGGAATGAACAATTCAAAAATTGAAAAGGGAAAAACATACAACAGGAGGGATTCGCTGGTGGTCACCCACCCAACTACTAACCTCCCGGTATCGTCCGTTGGCTAACCGTGTCATCGGATACTCGGAGTTGTTGATAAGGAATATCTAATTGATGTGCTAATGTAGAGATTATTTGACGTTTTTTGGCCTCAAGAGGCTTCACAGGTCTCTGAGATACGTCTCCCAATATTAGAATAAGAATTAGGCATAGTGGTGGCAATTAAAGTCTCTGAATAGCTTCAAATTTATCGTTGAGGTGGGAATTATCGTTGGGGTGAGACCACCACGCCGAAGGGTGGGTGGGTCTGCTGACCTTAAGTGAGGCCACGGCAAGAAAATTTCCACTCCTGCGATGAAACAACGACCTTGCGAGAGCGCAGCAAACTCCGCCGTATACCTTTCAGCCATCATGGGCCTTGATGTGAATAGCTGTTCTAAGCCGCAACATAAGCCAGAAGAAGAGGGTGTTATTATTGGCTGCCGTAAATCGGAGCTCGCCCTTGTTCAAACCCGTTCGATCATATCTAAGCTGGGCCACACGCTCGACCCCTCTCCCAACTTTCAAATTGCCACAGGCAGTGTTGTTGGCGATGCCGATAAACAGACATCCTTTGCGGCCCTTTCCAAGCTGACAGGTGGCTCAGATGTTGGCAAAAGCCTATGGACAAACGACCTGGAATTGGACTTGGTGGCCGGCAAGGTCCACTGTCTGGTCCACAGTTTAAAGGATATGCCGACTACGCTGCCACCTCATTGTCTTCTGGGAGCGATCCCCGAGCGTGAGGACTGTTCGGATGCTGTTTGTATAAGGCCTGATTTGAAGTTCACATCCATCGACCAATTACCGCCTGGTTCCATAGTGGGAACCAGCTCTTCCAGGAGGAAAGCTCTAGTTCGGCGGAATTGGCCTCATTTGGAGGTTGTAGAATGTCGCGGCAACGTGTAAGTAATACGTATCTTTTTCTCTATTGTTTCTTGCTACTACACAAGGCAATCTCTGTCCGCGTAAACAGCTTGATCCTAATACAGTACCATTGTATATATTAGAGATACTCGCCTTGCTAAGCTTGACGCGCCTTCTTCTCCGTTTTCATGTATTCTCTTGGCGACCGCAGGACTGTTACGTCTGGGACTCGGTCATCGGATTACGCATCGACTTGATACTAGTATATTCCCTTACGCAGTAGGTCAGGGCGCCCTCGGGGTCGAGATTAGCACGAACCGTCCGGATATACTCGAGCTGGTCCGCCATGTCGACCATAAGCCGTCGAGATGGCGCGGGATAGCAGAGAGAGCGATGCTTCGAAGTCTCCAGGGAGGATGCTCGTCACCAATCGGCGTGCGGTCATCTCTGGAGCCTCTGAAAGAGGAAAACAGATTGACAGAGGACACACGACGAGGCCGTGATGGTAGCGGCGGCAACCTTACCTTGCAAGCCATGGTACTTCATATCGAAGGAACGTCGGAGATTGTTGCTGAGGATGCGGCTACTGTCCAGTGCGACGAAGAAGCAGAGAAACTTGGTGTCTCAGTCGCGAACATGCTTCTTCGCAAGGGGGCCCGAACCCTAATGCCAAAACAATTCTAGTTTCAACTTTTTGTCCTGGGACGCATCTAAAAAGAATTAACTAGCCTGAGATAGTGTCCTTACAAAAGCATGACTGACATGGAATTGGCTCCTTGCAGACTTTACAAAGATGTACGGTAGAACTGCTTCACTTTCAGGAGCAAAATAATCACTTCGCGGGAGCATCCTTCAATTTAGATTTCAACCAACTCTTTCTACTAGCAGCGTTTACTTTCCAATCGAAACTTCTGCCGCTTTTCCCTGCTTCGTTAATCTCCCAACCTCTGCCGCCACCTCGCTGCGAGGAAAGAATGAACATCTGTGGAGGAGGTTTAGTTGAAATTCCCATCCTACAATATTCAACGTATGTGGGAAGATATATAAACTTACAGGAAGTCCTTGGGTTCTGCAACAAGCGAGCTGGGACAAGCATTGTACGTGTCATGATGGATATCAACGGGACCCGGGGCTTGAATCTTCCAACCCAGAATGAGGCGACCGAGAATCCCGTACATGAGGCGATTGGCAAGATGGTAGCCCACACACGCTCGAGTGCCCGCCCCGTAGCCAAAATGCCTCATAGGGGGGCCGCCGGCACGGCGGGTCTGTGGCTCACTTTCCTCCTTGTCCACAAATCGTCGTGGAATGAACTTGTCGGGCTCAGGGAAGACAAGTGGATCGAAGTTAGCCGATTTGGAGTTCATATAGAACCAGGTGTTTTCTGGGATGGAAATTCCGTTGTCCAAGACCACCGGCGTGATGTTGGTTCGGGGAAAGCCCATGGGGACAACGCTGAAGTAGCGAAGGATTTCCTGCACCAGACTCTGTAGGCCGGGGACGGCTTCTTCGGCGACTACCTTCTCCCAGGCTTCTTCAAAGGAGGAGTAACGGGCTAGGATCTCGCCCCTCATATCCTCTTGAATCTCCTGCCCTTGCTTGGATGCGAGGACTGCGACACCCTGTGTCAAATTAGCAGGAATTGTGTCGAGTCCAGCCGATAGAAGAGTGATGCTGAGGGACATTAATTCCACTGATTCCATGGTCAGCATATACATACTTCCCTTGAAACTAGTGCAGAGAGCGAACAGGAAGGATTCAACCCCGTACCATTGTTAAAATCATAGTTAGGGTCCTTCATGATTTGACCGACTGAGCAAGGAGCATCGATCCCGTTGGCGATATCCGATTTGAGCTGGTCAATAAGACGATTCATGTAGATGTCTCGCCGCTCGCTATATGCCTTAGCCCCTGTTTTGGCACTGGGAATCCAACGCAGGAAAGGAAGGTAGTCTTGGAGATTATTGGTATGCGATCGGTATCGTGTAAGAGCTTCTTCGACGTCGACAATCTCTTTGAGCAAGGCGTCTCGGACGGTGGAAATTCGAGTTCCGAAACTACATGTCAGGGACTTTAAGGAAATTCCGAAAGTTATCAGCCGTTTGGTTTTCTTTCCTGGATAGTCTTCGATTCGAGAGAGCAAAACGCACAACATTGAGAACAAATTTCTTCAAGTATAGCTTTGGTTGGATTCCCTGCTCACTGTGGTGAGTATCAACAAGGATTTCGTGAAGAGCATCATTGATTTCTCTCGAGATAGCTGGCACATATCTGCAGGTTGTGGTGGTTCCCCCCGTCGTCAGATGGGGCGCTTGTAAAATATAAATAAGATGTTTATACAGAAACTCACCGGTGAACGGCAGAATTGTTGAGGGTTAATGCAGCAGCCTTACGGCGCAGTTTGCAGGACTGGTCCCATGGAGAGGTTCCAATAGTGAAGGCTTCGCTGCTCGAAATGACATTGTGGAAAGTGTGGAGAGTTGGGCGTGAAATGAGGCTCGACTGGTTTTTGATCCAAAAGTCGCAGATGCCGTCAAATGTGTTGCTGATGACCACCGGTCTTTGGCCCAATTTGACGAGAAGGTTTGGACCATAGGTCTTGGACCAACTTTGGAGCTTGCTGGAAAAGGATTGCGCTCGCTGGAGTTGCAGCAGGTTGCCAACTACCGGCCATCCTTGGACTCGCGGTATTCCTTTGATGTTATCTCGCTGATAAGCCTTTGACAGATGAAATAGTAGAGACACAACAATGAGCAACACGGCGGTTGCCTGGAAACCATCGATCAAAGCCATGGCGACCAAACTGTGTTGTCTGGGGTATGGAGGGAGAAGGGGAGATACGGCTACAGCAGCCTTCATCAGCCCCGATGCGTTTGGCAGCCCATATGTATGTCTGTATACACAGAACGAACAGGCGGTGTCTGGACTTGAGGGCTCGGAGTCTCCGATCTCCCCTACTACTGCCCGAGCTGGTGTCCGACCCCGAGCCCCCGATCCCGGACAGTTATTGGGAAGACGCATTAAGAGCATGCGCCATCTATCTCAGTTTTGCTGAATCAGTCGACTGACTGCCTGCCCAGCCTACGACGTGCATCATCAGGATTCACCCCTTCACTTCAAGCTGTGGCTAGCTTGACCAGTCAAGGCAACAAACAATGGTAGACCCCAAGATACATCGAGACGAAATTTTAGACCGTCAGGCGAATGGCCTACCAGGGAGTAAAGTTGCCAAGAGTGTCTTCCAGTTCGCGACGCCTCTTGATCTGGTGATTATTGCCATCAGCTGCATCGCCGCTGTTGTCGCAGGAGGCCTCAACCCTCTCCTTACTGCAAGTCTACCTTCACAAACCCCGTTTTTTCGGTAGTTTCTCCCACCTTGACTAATCAATCTACCTTACACAAACCACAGGTGTTATACGGTCAACTCGTTGGGTCGTTTAATGGTTTCCAGGATGGCACGATTTCCGCATCGACACTTAAGTCCGACATCTCAAGGTTTACTGTATTCTTCGTGTACCTTGCCATCGGAATGTTTGTGTCTATCTACATCACCACCGCGGGGTTCTATTACACGGGGGAACGGATCACGAAAACGTTGAGGAGGACGTATCTCAAGGCCGCCATTCGGCAGAATATCTCGTTCTTCGACACTCTGGGAGCAGGGGAAATCACGACGCGTATCACGACCGACATTACACTCATTCAAGGGATCACCGGTAATCTTTCCGTGAGCCTGACCGCGGCGGCCACTTTTATCTCGGCGCTGGTGATTACATTCGTGGTGTACTGGAAGCTGGCACTGGTGCTCTGCTCCACAGTGGTTGCCCTGACGATCTTCAGCACGGTCGGAATAGTCCTGCCCGTGCGATGGACCAAGGCATCGTTACTGTGTTACAGTACTGGTGCCAATGTGGCAGAGGAAGCGATCAGTTCAATCCGGCATGTCACTGCGTTCGGTATTCAGCAGAAGATGGTGGAGCGTTATGACAAGTACCTGCAGCGTGCGGAGCGGCCCAGCTTCAAGGCGAACTCCATCACAGCGCTCATGATGAGTGCCAGCGAGGCCGTGCCGTATTTGAGCTACGGCCTTTCCTTCTGGGCAAAGTCAGGAAAAGATTGGAAGAGAGAATAAAATCTTTGACGAAGCGCAAAAGATACCCTCCCTATTTATTTCATATGATGGAGACACTAGGATAGCTCAATGTGCGATTGAGCCTGCACTAAATCATCTAGCTCACCCAGCTCACCCGGCTCACCCATGTTCTGAACAGGATCACCCAGCTCACCCGCACTCACCCTACAGCTTAGCGTCGCTCACCCGTAAAGCAGCGAGCCCCAGAGGGCGCCACTGTCCTTTGGCCAAGCTTACACAGTTGGCTTAAGTACGGCTGAGCGGACGGGAAGCCCTGTTCTCCACACCCTATGGTCGTATGTACTAGCTTAGTCGAAGTTTGAGGTTTATATAGACACTTTGCTGATTTTCTTGTCTCAAGATTATACCGGCCCCCCCAAAGCTTTTTGCTGTCATGATCAAGGCAGCGGGGTTCAAGTTTGTAATATATTGCGCCGTCGCGTGTAAACTCTTCACCAGTGTCGGCACTTGGTAAAAACATAGCACCATGGTTTAAAAAGGGTCTATAAGAGGTCATAGGTAATATGTGCTCGCCCACGCATCCGTCGACTCAAGGCCGCCTCTTTCTCATTGGCAGAGGCTCACTTATCTTGCACCTGTGGCCCATGCCCTGCGTGAGACATGGAGAAGTTCGGGTGCCATAGCCAGGCTTTGCACAGGTCATGATAAGCAAGGTATACGGGGTGTCTCGATGATTCTGCAAGAAGAAACTTCAGGACTCTACCCAGAACAAAGCGTCCCCACCAGGGAAGGGTCTTCTTCGGGCTGTGACTCCCTTGGGTGTATATTTCCAAGATAACATTGATTGGCATATGCGAACTACTCCGTAATGTATAGTACATTGCAAGGTTCACGGCGTATTTTCCCATAAATGCGCAGGATCAAATATCTGTAAATTTTAGGCCTATATTGTGGCATAAGACAAGACCAATATGCGACTAATCGTATTGTAGGACACCAGCTGCGTATGGACACCACTATGTACTTGTCGCCTCTGGCCAACCCACACCCAAGCAGGGGTCGGGAGGTTCGTTACTCTCGGAGGGATTCATTAGATATATATCGCCCCAACAGAAGACGATGGAGCTCCTGTGCATTAGCACTAGTCATCAACAATTACCTGTTTATCGAGTGGGCACAATGGCAACCATCACCCAACCTATCACCACAGTTTCCAGTGCCCATCCTAAGTTTCTCCCTAGGGGGCCTGTTCAGGTCGAGCTGAACCTTTTCGAAGCACCCCCTCGATGGCTCTCAGCAGTTCTAGTATGCTGAGGAGCCTCCCGAGTGAGAACCAGCTGCAAACTACGGACAACCTGCATTGCAGATCTCCCTGACCGATATCCGTGGAAATGAGAGGGACTATGGTCTCGACAAGGACGCCTTTCATACCCCTTAAGGAGTCTTTTCAACAGTGCCATACTAGACGTTTCTTTTCAATGAAGAGGTCAAACGAACCTTCGACCTGGAAGTGGAGAAGCTCCTTCTGGATCAGGTAGATGGCGCCCACCAAGTCAGGTCATCATCTTTGATCATGTCATCCGGATGGAAGACGAGAACATGCATCGCAAGCACCTTTACACTGCCCATGCAGATCAAACTGCACGAGCAGGAGCAGTCCGGATACGCCTCTACGTTCCAGACCAGGCTGTAGCCCAGGAGCTCCTCCGGGGCCGCCAGTAGTGAGTTCAAGTTACTCTAAGCTTATAGATTCAAATAAATGAAACAATAATATGTGAAATGTCTCGGTGGCGCAATTGGTTAGCGCGTCTGACTGTTAATCAGGAGGTTGTGAGTTCGATCCTCACCTGGGACGTTTAATTTTTGCTCCGAACAATACCTTTGCTTGATCTGTATCCTGCTGGACAAGTTGCTGCTCTATTCTGTTTTGTATACTGGATTTGTACCCAATCTTTACGTGCCGTAGTAGGAATGACGGCTGGTCATTGAGAATGAGACTAGATGTATGTAAAATAAGTGGAACATAGCCCGATAATGGTACGATTGGAAGAATAGCAAGACGCTTGTTCGACTAAAATTTAGCATCGGTAACTGGATGGGATGGCGGTTCAATTGAGGTTAGGAGTAGTATCAAGTCGCTTTGTGTGACTGATATACTCATTAGCAAAGCCCTAACTATCCTCTATATGGCTTTTAATGAAGTCAAAGGGGATGATTGAGTTGAATGGACTCTGGGACAACCTCTTTGCAAGCCTCATTGCAGTGGGAAGGAGACCAAAAAGTATATACTGCAGTCTGCATCTGATGGTTATGCAGGATGGAAACCAGACCTCTAACTGTGGCACAGGGAAACTGAGAGATGGACGACGAGGTGGGCTCTACTATTTGAAACTTCCCAATTGTGATCCAAACATGCTAGTTATTTTAACAATAGCAGAATTTGTCGATTTATTGGATGGTGACATGCGCTAATTAAAGAATAATAGGTTGTGTGAGGATATAGACTACTAGATATCAATTAGTCTGGAAGCTGGAATCCATTTGTCTCTATTGCCTCACCCACTCCTTTCTTTGGTTTATTCTGCCCTGCTCTTTCAGTTTCAAGACTCTGTTTTCGGTTCTTCGGATTTCTCCCTCTTCTTCTATTCTTGTTTCCCTACGGTAGACTATACTGGTTTAGGGATTGAAACAATCTGGAGACAACTAATACTACACTCGAAATCGCATATACTCCCCTCTAGATATGAGTCAACTAGAGCAAATTCTTTTGGCAACTAGGGAGGCAAACAGCCTTCCCAAACGGAATAAGCCAGTGAAGTCTATAGAAACTCTATAACGTAAGATTTGGCCTAGCTGTGAAAAGTATTGATACCCGCCGTTGAGATCAGGTATGCGGACTAAGCTAGGGCAAATCCCAAGGGTTTACAAAGATATGTCTATGGTTGGATATCCTTGGGCCAGATCCACTGCTTCAAATATAAAATATGTGTCTGTTGGTATTGGAAACACTAGATTCCGGGATTTATTTTTTAATCATATACAGAATACAGTCGATACTAAATGACCCATGTACTCCGACAATGCCAAACGCCCCCAGGGCCCATCACTGCTACTAGTACTTAGAGAGAAGAGATATAGATATACTATTTCTTGAGGTACCGTGCTTTAAATATGAGTAAACGTCCCGCCAATCTTAGTGAGCATTGGGTTGTCTCGTCAACGTCGCCCTTCTGCTACTTCAACTAACCTCCTACGTGAATGAGAATACTACGGCAGATCAAGCTTCCAAATACCCATGGTTGGCGAGTCCTTAGCACCGCAATGAATTGAGATGGCTTGAGAGACCCGTCTAGCTAGCTTGCTCAGTAGACCTCGACTTGTGCATTACTGTGATCAACAATGCCCTAGCCCTCTGAAAGGCTTCAATTTAGCAAGTTATGTGTAACAAGGCAGCTTTCTGACACAGCGCAGAAACTCAGTTCACAGACACAGGAGAAACAGAGTGTTGTGGGCTTGCTTTTCTTTTATTGCAATGGTTGTGACCATTTATGAGTCCCAAAAACTAGGGTGGTGGTCTTTTCCACAGGGGATAATGTCGTGCTCTACTTTCATCCAGCATACCTGGCTTCTATGAAACGTACACGCCCATCCTACCTGAATATCTAGATAGCAAAAAGATATCACAAAGCAAAAAGGAA